TTAGATTTTTCGCAGAAAAACATATGAAAAATAGAACATTTATTCCGGTGACTGGAACGGAACTCGAAATATCTTTTTATTTCATTCGAACCCGACTCGAACTTTGACCCGACCCGTTTCGATCTCAGTTAGATATCAATAAATCTTTTTCTAAGATATCCTATTTGTATGTATAATTAGCAAACGATAGGACAAGTTTTATGGGAAGTATTTGTCCGATAAGAGATTCTGTAATATTCATAAAATATCTTACTGTATGAGCTAAACATTACGGGTCGCTGGTAATAGTGAGGAGACGGAGGCAGTGCGAGAAATACAACAATGTCCGAAAGTTCTCTGTCTATGTACATAACTGATGGGGTCCTCCACAGTGGGCAACCATGCGGACATTAGGTGAAAAAACGAAAATGGACTGCGAAGGAGTCGTGGACGGCAAATTTAAATAGTAGAACATATACTTGGGCAAACGCTCTATCTTTTTGCACTTGGAAGTTTTTTCTAGGTGTCATAATTAGCGAGAAATGAGTGAATCAAATTTTTTCAAAACAGAGCGATAAAGATACAAAACTTTTTGTTGAAACAAAGTACGACGTTTGCAAATTTTATACAGTGCAAACCTAGACTTTCCACTCTATCTACTCCTGAAAAAAAAATTTTCTGGGACGCTTTATAACCGAGAAAAAAAATTTCTTTCTCTGCTAAGTGTTTTCCGAAGAGCATACCTCAGTATAGTAAGGTTCCACAATTTTCACTGCTTCAAATTTAACGAACTTTTTACAGAAGATACATCCACTGACGATATATAGATGCTGTTAGCGCAAACTAGCGCAAATGCACTTGGGCTGAGTTATAGGCTTTCCAGGTAAAATCGGATTATTTCCTTTTGGAAATACATTTATGCAACAATAATATCATATTCGAAATTAGTGTGAAAAACTGCATCGAATGATATATAATTTACAGCAGTTTATTGGGAAAAAATTGTAAGTTATCGTGGAAGGCTAAATTTAAGGCAGCACCGTGGTTTTTGAGGCCGATGGTTTTTATATCGTTAGAAAACCGATCTGGACGCCTGAAAAATAATTGTTTTATAGGTTTCCGAGTACGGCTGGTTCAATGGACTTATTTAAAAAATTCTAAACTGGTTTTGCAAAGGTTTTCTCGAAGCTCTGGAAAACCCTTAAAACATGAATTTTGAGCTTTTTAAGTGACTCCATTAGGAAGAGCACACTTGACAACCTACAAAAACATATCTGAGAGATCTTTCCAGCGCTTTAAAATCCAATACCCACATGCCTAGCTAAAATTGCCCACTGTGCCCTGTGCGCATATTCCAATACAAGTATGCTTTTAAAATATATACTCTTTTGAAAATAAATTTTCACAAGAGTGAAATATCTGATTGCCTAATTATATCACAGGGCACGTCACAGTATGGTTTTATAAAGAAAACTTTTCCAGGGGCAGATTTTCCAAGGGGGAAAAGGCGATTTCAGGAGCTTTTCGGAGCCTTTGAAATCCTTTTCGAAGCTTAAAATGCTTAGTATCTGATGCAGAGCTATACTCTCCGATGCTTTCCGATGGTGGGAGATGTTCTCCAATGCTAAGAAAGAAAAAAGTCGTATTTTCCCCCTTGAGATTTTTACTAAAAAGCTTTGGTCTAACTAACATGTCATCCATTTCTATACAGATATATCAGACCGCACTTTGACTCCTACTATTTAATCATTGTAAGAATAAAAATATGTGATATTTTAGTGTTTTGATCAACTATCACAACAGTCTATTGGATATTATCGAACAAGAATATAGTAGCGAGAGTGTTGTATTAAAAAATTTGGTGAATGATATAACACATAAGCAAGTGTCGATCATACAGATAGCTGGTGACAGTACTGGTGTTATATCATTAAGTGATCAAGATTGTAAATGGATAGAACAAATTGCTCAAGCCAGTTTATTATCGAATGATGAATATTTTCAAAAAAGTAATTCACCGTTAAATTTTGATTTTATTTATGTACAATCATACATTCTACGAAATTATTTATTATTATCACACATTAACTATCATCACATTCATGCAAAATATCAATGTCGCATACGACAACAGACGAATATAACAACTTCATCACTACTTGTGGGGGAAAATTTTAATCTACCAATGGATGAAAACGATTGGATTTATTTGAATGATATGACAGCCGATAAACTGTATAATAGTCTATCAACAATAAGACGATTATCATTGATTCTCAAAGATCAATTAAATCAGAATCATAATGATATTGATTTATCAAAAACTGATTTGAATGAGTTTGTTCAACGATACACATCATTGGAAGAACAAGAACAATTTGAAGAATGTCAAATTAAAAATTTTCAATTATGTCATATTGACTTCGTCCACGAGTTGTATATAAAAGCTCTTCATGGTTATGAACATTTATTTGTTTATTTGCCACCGTTGTTACGTGTTCCGCTGCCGACTGAAATACAACATTCATTGTCAGATATATTGGATACTGCTGAATATGAAACAATACATAAAGTGAAATCGACCATACAAACAATAACAGAGTTATTAAATGATTTGAAAAACATCGAACCAGCACTGTTTCAGCAATCAACAAGACCTTTGACTGAAGTGTGTCAACATATGGGAATTGAATCGCCAATATTAACACTGTTATTTAATGAAATTAAATGTGAGAATTATTTGTATGTTATTATATCTATTATAAAGCATCGATCGAAGTTACAACAACTAACAATTGATTTTGAAGAAAAATAAATGAAAGCACCTAATCGACAACTCTGGAATGAATCTTTTCTTCATCAACAAGGTACTGTATTTGTTTTTTGTTTAAATATTTGAATATATATGAGTCAATTGCAACTTCTTTGTACAATGACATTTTTGAAGTATTTTTTGCTACTAACACCGTTGTTACAAATGGATTTTCAAACTTTTTTTTATTCTCTATCGCAGATCCTAGCCACACTAACATAAAAATTTCGTAACAATATGACGTCAACTAACTGAGTTACGTGACTCAAAAGTTAAAAATACCCGTTTTTT